TGTTTAATACATTGTATATGTATGATATTTGGGAGGAGAAATGGGATGTACTCCATGTTTAGGAGGAGAAAGTGGATGGACTCCATTGAATTAAGTTAGCCTGTGTGTCCAGGATAAAAGTCCCAAAAACATTATGTATACAAGGATGCCAATTCTCGCGGATGAAATTTTCGTAAAATGGCAAATTGAAGTGTTTGTGTAATGGTTGTGTAGTAAGAAAACCACTGTTCCAGTGGTCAAGCAAAGAGGACGGCAAACGAAGTATCGCTCGTGGTATGAAGGTCAAAAAGTAGGCTTCTTTACGCTCTTTGTGGATAACTTGCCTGAATCAATGGACCCACGAAATTTGTACGATTTGTTCATCAAGTTTAGAGTGGTAAAGGATGTGTTCATACCAAAAAAGAGAAAGAAATCAACAAATTCACGATTTGGGTTTGTTCGATATAACTATTCCACTACAGCTAGAGTAGTCAAATAGAAGGCTAATTGCTTGTGGGTTGATGATAAATCTTTGGTAGTCAAATTCGCAAAGTATGGTAATGGATCAGAGAAAAGGTGAAGACTGAACCCAATACCAACATGACAACCAGAGGTGAGTAAGATATCTACTATGGCCGACAAAAGAAAATGGAATCAAGGTACTGATGGACGGTCGTTTGCAGAGGTCATCAAAGGTACTGAATCAAGATGCACACCTAAGACAACTATCAAAGTAGAAGAGGTAGGAAATGAGTGGTTGTATGAGAGCCTGATCATGAGACTTAAAATGGGTTACTCTGTTTTGAGGTGAAAAATGAACTAAAAAAAAGAGGTGTGTTGAATATATTGGTGAGAGAAAGTGGAGGTAGGGATGCAATCATATTCTTTAATTTAATGGAAGACTTGTTGAATAAAAAGTCTTTGCTCAAAGATTGGTTTCATGACTGGTGTGAGTACATCACTGAGTGGAGATCTGGTATGCACCTTCAACAAGAAAGGTATGTTGTGATCAGTTGTTACAGGGTACCTCTTAATTTATGGAACTCTAATACCTTCAGAAAAATTGGAAGGTTTTGGGGGGAGATGGTAAGTTTAGATGGAGATATTTGCTCACCTAAATCATTTCGGTGTGGAAGGTTTAAAATAGTCACAAGTGTTATGGATCCGATAAGCACAAGCATAAATCTAGAGTGCAAAGGCAGAGTCTATCCTACAAGAGTTTATGAAGATCAGAGTACTGTGGATGCAATTACCACTTGCAAAGGAACTACAATCAATGAGGCAGAAGAAGATGGTTGCTCCAAAGTTAATAGAAGACTCCAACCCATTGAAGCTAACATCTTGGAGAAAGAAAAAAGATGACAAGGCAGATAAAGTAACAGGAGAATGTGATATGGAAAATGTGGACACGGCATTTAGGTTGAAGGAAAGAGTTGAGCTGGTGATTGGTGGTAGTTGGAGCCATGTATCAGCAGTTGAGGAGACTAAAAATTACGGGGGGAAATTCACATGAAGAGGGCACTTGTATGGTAGAGTTATCATTACCAGCGGAAATCCTGCAGCAGAGAAAGTGGTGCAATCATGTCACTCAAAAAGGTGTAGAAACTCTTATAGTGGCAAATAATCATGATACTACAACAAGGGAGGTAACCCATGCAACGGATGGTCAGATACTCACTCCAGGCTTTATAAAGAGCCTAAATGAGACAGTACAAACTAGGCCTGGCATTAGTCTAGAGGTAGCCTTAGGTCTTGATCAATCTGGGCTATAGCTCATTGAAGTAGCCCTTGACAATGCTCAACCCATTGGGCCAACTGGTGTTGGTCTCAATTAACCTTTTGAGAGGCCAGAGTGTGAAGTTCCAAGTGTGGGCTCCAAGTCAAAGGACAGTGTTTCTAATAGCCCATCTTTCTCAGGCACATTTAGCACCCGTACATAGAAATACAAAAGGAAAGGCATCAGAAACGAGGGAATCAAAAACCCTATGTTCGTTGGGAGATTTACTGGGTTTGCTAGAAGATTTGGTTAGAGAGGTACAGGAACAAGCAAAGGCACCCCCAAAGGCTCCACGTCCAGATCCACTGCTGCCCCTAAGTCAAACCACAATCCAAAAGTTAAGCAGCCAATTTCTGGTACTGATATATTTCAAGAGGCCTGTACAACACTCCAGATGGGGAAAAGTTTAGGTATTGATTACAAAGGACAAGAATCTGAAAGAATTAGGAAACTCACACACATGGAGGAGAATTGTCACGACCCAAACCCGTCCCCATGGGTTTAGCACCGTAACCGGCCAGTAATCCGAGATTACCGAAGGCCTGCTTAACAGTCAAACAGAAATACAGAGTACAGGGGCTGGCAGAAGCCAAAATAGTAATTAAAAGATGTCCAATGAGCTGTGACAATCTGTATGCAAAAAGACTTTTCAAGACACATATACAATCAGTACCAAAACAATATGTACAATATATACAATCATTCAGGACAGGGACTTAATCCCTATTAGAACAGTACAGTACAATATCATTCAATCTATACAGAACATAAACAAAGAGGGGGAAAACTAAAACACCCCAAGCAGCCTCAGCTTGAACAGTTCTAGAACCTCAAAGTGAGGCACAAAGGTTGGCTTGACAAAACAGGAGTTAAGCTTGACGCCCCTAGCAACGGTTCGGTGCTTGAACACCTACATATATATATGAGCAGTGAGCTAAAGCCCAGTGAATAACATATACGTAAAGAGGTTAAGAATGAATGTCCTTTCAGTATTAAAAATAGTCATTTAAACAATATATCAATCATTCAGTTTGTGGCTCATAATTCATGCCATAACAGTCATTCAGAAACTATAATAGTCATATGTGGTACATCCAATAGCAAAGCAGTACAGCAGGTCTTAACAGACCGAGCAGTCAATGATGGCCATCATATTAGTAAACAATAGTGGTTCCAAACACAGGAACTGACAGAGATCTCTGTAACAGTAGCAGTAACAGTATATTGTTATGGATGCCACGAATACAGTTCACAAATAAGACAAACATTCATTCAGTAAACAGTGTCATTTCATAAAGCAGTACAGTCATTTGTTCAAAAAATAATCTCAATTGAACATATCTTTGCAACATTGTTACTCACAGAGTTCTAGGCTACAGATAAGCTATTACGCGTCCTCGGATGCCAACCCTACACAGTTACAGAGTGAACACACACTAAGCTACACAGCTGGGAAATAATAACTTAATCCCTAATTGCCTTGGTATGGTTCTACATCAATATCCTCATTAAGATGCCTTAAACTAGGCCTAAGAATGCCTAGAATGGAATGAGGATGCAAAGATGCACTTTAAAAATATTTTCAGAATTTTCAGAAAACAGAGGTCCTGCTCGAGCATGGGTTTTCCCGCTCGAGCGGACATGCAAACAAAAGTCTTCGTTCGAATGTAAACTTTCCCACTCGAGCGGACTGCAAAAGTACTGGATGTGTGAAAATCACGCTCGATGGGCGCTTGACACCCACTCAAGCGTGTGCCACAAGTCCTCGCTCGAGCGTGCAAGACCCCGCTCGAGCGAACTGTAAACACAACAAAAGTGCTGGATACACGAATTTCCCGCTCGAGCGCCACTTACCCTGCTCGAGCGCCACTTACCCCGCTCGAGCGGGAGTCCAAAATCTGGAATTTTCAGATTTGAACCTCAAGCTCAAAATCAAGTTTTAATGCATCAAATTCGATCCTCTTGGGCCAATTTTCTGGAAAACACTTGTAAATTCATAGTTTAACATGATTCAAAACTCAATTTGTAAAATCAAGGCCCAAAGGTAGTTCAATTGAACACAAATTCAAAGAAATTCCATGAACATGATGTAAAACATAACATGCATGAATTTAATCAACTTCAAGCTTTCAAAACATGAACAAATGAGCCAATTCTTTCTATAACAAGATGAATTCATGGACTATACTCAAGATATGGACATGCATGTAAGGAATTTATGAACTACAACCTCAAAACTTCAAAATATATACATGCATGCAAGAATTAAACTCTTAATTCAACAGATTAAGCCATATCTTGGTTCTAAACTTCAAAATTAACATAGACCATGCAAGGCACAACTTAAACTCACAACCAAGGAGATAAGTTCTAACCTTAGGTCTTTAAACTCAAGGATATAAGCTCAATTGTACAAATTCTCTACAATTTCTTCAAGTCTCCAAGCTAATCTTTGTTGAAACCAAGCTCTCCTAACTCTCTCTCTCTCTCTAGTCGGTGTTGGTCTTATGGAAAGGCTGAGGAAATGATGTATCTAATGTATAATTCAAGCCTCAAAATATGATATGAAGTGGGCCACTAAGTGGTAAAGTTGTAAATAAGGCCAACTCTTGTAATTTATCAATATTTAATCTAATTTAATCATACCAAATCACATTTCAATTAAATATACCATAAAATCATATAAATCTTAATTAGCACAAAACATCAATCAATTTCAGATTCAGCCGCCGATAAGGCCTTCAATTTGCAGTTTAAAGCATAAAACATGAACAGATAATTTAACAGTCAACAGATAGAATTGCATTCAAACTAGCATAATCAATTAATCAGTTTAATAATTCAGTCAGTCAGTCAATTAACATGCTTAATCATAGATTAGCACTAATCAGTAGTGTTATCAGTAGGCAGTGGTGGGGGTTGTCACAAGAATGATAAGGAAAGGTTGGGAAGAGAGATTGGTATAGTGGAGTAATTAGCTCCAAATTGGTGGAAATAGTGAAATATTTATTTTTATGACGATACTTAGCTGGAATATCAGAAAGAGTTGGTAGGCCTGAAAAGAGAGTGAAGATTAAAAAACTTTTACTAGATAAGAAAATTGATATGGCTCTATTTCAAAAAATAAAAAAGTCAAGCATAACAAGCTTGATGGTGAAAAGTATTTGGCCCAGGGATAGGTTGGAGTACATGACTATGGATGTAGTATGGATGGCAAGAGATCAGTTATGCATTTAGGACCCAAATGTCTTTCAGCTCTCAGATTGTTGCAGCAGCAAAAACTTTGTTTTACTCTCAGGTAAGCTTTACAACTCTTTTGATTGTGTAATTGTAAATATCTATGCTCCCACTGACATTATAAGGAGAGGGAAATTATGAGAGTCTCTATTAAATCTGAAAACATCTTTCCCAAATCCCTGATGCTTTGGTGACTTCAATGAGATAAGGACTTTAAGGGAAAGGGTAGGAACATCAAGAAGGGATAGGGGTATGAAAGAATTCAATGAATTCATAGATAGATGTGAGGTGGTAGATGTGTAAATGCTAGGCAGAAAATATACATGGTGCAATGCCTTTGATGGAAATAAATGGAGCCGAATTGACAGATTTCTTATTAATCCAGAGTGGATGGAGAGGTTTAAGCTCCAACTCTAGGGTCTTCCAAGAATAGCATATGATCACTATCCTATTGTGCTCATAGAGGATGAGAGGGATTGGGGGCCTAAACCTTTCAAGTTTCTAAATGCTTGGCTCTTGCATCCTAATTTTGTTCCTTTTGTAGAGACAACCTGGAGAGAAGCACAGTGCTTTGGGACCGCTGGTTTTATTCTGTAGAGAAAGTTATACAGTTTGAAGTTGGCATTAAAAAATGGAGTAAAGAGGTGTATGGTAATGTTGCATACAAATTATAAGACTTTGAATGTGAACTCAATAAGCTGGATCTGATAGCTGAATGCAGGCCTTTGGAGGATGAAGAATTGAAGTTGAAAAGAGAGACTAGAAGTGAAATGTGGATGCTGAGCAAGAGATTGGAATGGGAATGGCTTCAAAAATCTAGGCTGGCATGGAATCTAAAAGGGATAGAAACACCAGATTCTTTCATGTTATGGCTACCAGCAGACAAAATAGGAATACATTTAATTCCATCACAATAGGGGATGTAGTGCTTGAGAAGCCTAATCAAGTCAAGTCTGAGGTGTGGAATTATTTTTCAAAACATTTCACAAAAGATTGGAGGATCATAGCAGTGCTAGTTGGGGATTTCAAGAGTGTAAGGCTGAGTGACTTATTCCATATGCTTGAAACAGAATTTTCTGAAATGGAGATCTAGGCAGCTGTTAGAGATTGTAATGGGAACAAAGCCCCAGGGCCAGATGGTTTCAAACTGATGTTTTTTCAAAAAAACTAGGAGGTGATCAAAGAGGAAATGCTCAACTTTATGAAAGAATTCCATACCAATGGTGGATTGACTACAAGACTAAATAGCACTTTCATCACACTCATACCAAAGAAAAATAAAGCTATCAATCTAAATGAGTATAGACCTATAAGTCTGGTTGGTGCAGTATATAAACTCCTCTCTAAAGTTCTTGCTACTAGACTAAAAAGAGTCTTGCCCACAGTTATTGGTGATTCACAATCATCTTTTCTGGGAGGAAAGAGTATACTTGATGGAATTTTGATTGCAAATGAAGTTGTGGATGGTTGGAAAAAAATCCAACAAAAAAGGGGTTATGGTTTAAATTAGATTTTGAAAAGGTATTTAACTCCATTAATTGGGATTTCCTTTTCTGAATGTTAGCTAACTTTGGGTTTGGTACCAAATGGATTTCCTAGATTAAAGAATGTGTTTCTACTGCAAGGCTCTCAATACTAATTAATGGCTCACCAACCAACGAGTTCAACCCTCAGAAAGGCCTCAAACAAGGTGATCCCCTATCACATTTCCTATTTATTTTGGTCGCAGAAGCACTAAATATTCTTCATCAGAGAGCTAGAGAGTTGAGATTGCTAAAAAGGGCAGTTATTGGTGCCATTCATGTAGTGATCTCTTATTTGCAATTTGCCGATGGCTCTTTACTATTCTGTGAAGCTAAGCTGTCAGAAGTTCTTTACTTGAAGAGGATCCTAAGGTGCTTTGAAATAGCTTCAGGGCTTAAAATCAACTATCATAAAAGTGTGCTTTGTGGGATTGGTACTTCTGATTCTGTCCTTAGTGACTTTGCCTCCTTGTTGAATTGCAAGGCTAAAAAATTACCACTTAACTATCTAGGATTGCCTTTGGGTGCTAGTCCTCAGAGGAAGAAGACATGGAAACCTGTTATTGATAAATTTAAAATAAGGCTTGCTGGCTAGAAAATGAGATTTCTATCTTTGCAGGTAGATTAACCATGGTGAAAACAGTGTTGTCCAGTCTACCAGTGTACTATTTGTCTCTGTTTAGGCTGCCTGAAGGAATAGCTAAGGAGATATATAAAATCCAAGCTTCATTTTTATGGGGTGGCACAGATTTGAAGAGGAAAATCCATATGGTGAAATGGTTAGAGGTAACTAAAAGCATCAAGCAAGGTGGGCTAGGCATTCGAAGAGTTCAACATGTGAATGTGTGCTTGCTACTAAATGGTGGTAGAGGTTTGCTTCTAAACATGATTCAAAGAGAGGAATGGGTACCTCATCTCAGCCCAAACATCAACTTCTCTAGAATTTGGAGTGACATTTTAGCAATAGTTGAACAGAAAGAAACTTTATTCATACACTATATTTCCCAACTACAATTAAGAGTGGGTAATGGTTGTAGAATTAGATTCTGGTATGATAAATGGTGTGGAGATATCTACCTTAAAGATGAATTTCCAAGGTTATTTCGGCTATCTAATAATAAGGTGGGATCAATTAACGATCTAGTGGAGATTGCAGGCCAATCCCATAACTGGTCACTCACTTTTCGTAGACCTCTATTTGATTGGGAAAATGAGGAGCTACTCAAACTCAATGGAATTTTACGAGCTGCCCTTGCATTGAATCTGGAGATCAATGACAGAGTTGTGTGGCTAGCAAAAAAATCAGATCAGTCATTTGTTTCTGTTCTCTACAATCATTTCAATCTTGATTTTGGAGGCAATGTCAGCTTTAGTAGAAGGGTGCGGATCAATTAACTCCTTCCCAAAGTGCAATTCTTTGGTTGGCTTGTATGGAAAAATAAGGTGAAAACATCAGTTTTCTTGCAAAGGCTTGGTATCTTGGATAGGAATGCATCTTCCCCGTTTAGTTTTTATAAGGCCCAAGAAGAAACAATTGAACATCTGCTAATCCTTTGTCCTATGGTGTAGAGGGTTTGGTCAGGGTTGTTGTAGTGGTGGGGGATTGTTTAGGTGGTACCTGGGTTTGTTCAAAGTCTGTTACATTGGTAGGTTGGGCACTGCTACAGGAAAGAAGAAAGGAAAATTTGGAGTGCAATACCTCTGGTGGCCTTTTGGTCCATATGGAAGCACAAAAATGGGTGTCTTTTTTAAGGCTCTTATCCTCAGATGTTGGAGTTACAGGAGCTCATTGTCAACATGCTAGCTATCTGGTATAAAGTTTCTTCCAAAGGGACTCAATTCTCAATTAATGATTTCCTCTTCAACATTTCACAAATTAGATATTGCTTAGGTGGAAGGGCCTAAGGGTTATGTCTTTGTATTGAGGTGGGAGATATCTCGAAGCAGTGTAATTGTATTGGACTGCTTGTTGCTGTTTTGATATTGTAATGTTGCCTACTGCTGTTTTGTTGCATGCTACTGTGTGTAGATTAGTGTGTCGTAGAGGAGTTTGATGATGTGACACAGGGGAGTTGCACTGCCTGTTGTTGTATTGCATTAATGCTGCAGTTGTATTCTTCTTTCTTTTTTTTGTTGTTTTTGGTTGGTTTCTCACCAATCTTAGGTCAAGTGCTAGCATATGATTGAGCTTCATTTGCGGTGCTAACCTAGTTGGGATTGTTGAGGTTTGCTATAATGCTCAGTGCACTTCCCTGCTTTTATTGATGTAAGTCTTGCATGTATATTGCCACTTTTTTTTTTTTTCATCAATAAAGTTCTTTTTTACTGATAAAAAATAAATAGATAAATAAATAAAAATAAAAAATACCCATTGAGTTGCAATCTCAGTTGGGTTGTCTAGGTAACGATGGATATGACTCATGAATTGAGGAGATATGAAATGACATGAAACGAATTGATATAAAATGGATTGGGATATCATACTTGGTATAATATGGATTTGGGAAAAAGAGTTGTAAATGATTTTATTTTGAGCATTGACCATGTGCATCATGTCAATAACCTTGTTAAAGTTCATATATTGTGCTAGATTGTTTTTGTTGGGCTTTGGCTCACTCTATTTGGGAAAAACCATTTTTAGGTGCTGGTGATATGCCTCCGCTAAGGCAATAGCTTGAAGGGATTGAGAGCAAGAGCTTCTATCCTGTTATATCTATTTTTGTATAACCAAGGGCTCTGAATTGTGTTAAGTTAGGCTCACTTTTGTTGTAACCAAGAACTGTCTTGGAAAGATGTAAGCATGTAGGGCATTTATTTCATTGATCATTTAGTTTGGTGCCACATGCTATCGATTCATGGTAGAGCTTTTGAATGTGTAATGCATGTGCCTTTTTGTAAATGGACTCTGATTAATGAAAGTCTAACACACTATTTATGTCATTTTGTATTAGTCTTTACGGTTGAATTATTGTATTATTTTCGGGGCGTGACAACTTGGTATCAGAGCGTACCGGGTTTGAATACTTTTGATACGTGGGAAGTGGTTAGTACCACAATGAGTTTATCTCGTTTGACAAATATGTTTATATGTTTGCAATGCTATGTGCTAACATGCTTATGTGATTATACGGGTATGAGATTTAAATTTCTAGAATGTTGATTGAGTCTATGAGTTTCTAAAAGTCATATTAGAAGAGCACTTGATCACTGCTGCTTTTAACTGGAACTCTGGCAATGCCGTGGGATGATAGTTATCCGAAAATGAAATTCGTACGTATCTATGTGACTATGTGCTTATGTGGAGTGAATTATTGTTGTCCATCACATTAGGACTTGAGTGAATTAGCTTCGGTACATTTGTAAATGTGTTAATCTCTTTTGTTACCTTCATTAGGATGTTAGGGCGCAACGGTGGTAGACGTGGTAGGCCTAAGAGGCATGAAGTGCCTTTACCAAATAAAATTTCGGCACAAGAAGAAGCGGTTGATCAGGCCAATGTGGCCGAACCAGTTGGTCAACAAGTGTCACGACCCAAACCCGGCCCTATGTGTTTAGCACCGTAACCGGCCAGTAATCCGGGATTACCGAAGGCCTGCAGAACAGTAATACAGTAAAACAGAGTACATGGCCTGGCGGAAGCCAATACAGTAAATAAATAATGTCCATTGAGCTGTGACAGTCTATATGAAAAAGACTTTCATACGTGTATATATAACAAAAATTTAAATGTAAAATTGCAAGCACATTGTGTTTTGCACCCACCGCTAGTGTATATATCAAATTTCTAGAGAAAAAAATAGGTTGCTTTTGGTTCTCTTTTGGAATTATAATTCCAATCAAAAAAAATTCAGAACTCTTTTCAAAATTCATAAGCAAACACACAACTCAAAACTCTTTTCAAAACTTAAAACCAAACTCTTTTCAAACCTCTATCTAAAAAATAAAAAAAAATCAAAATTTTTTATTTGTTTTTTAAAATTATTTTTAGAATTATGATTTAAGTGTGAAGTTGAGTTGTGAAAAAAGAAAAATTATTTGGTTATGAGTTTTGAATTATATTTTGAGTTTTGAGTTGTATTTTGAAATTTTTTGAATTTATTATTTTTAAATATGTAACAAATTTATTAATTGTAGTTTTTAGAGTAAATATTTCATATTTTAAATATTTATTCATTTATTTATTTTAATGTGCACTATATTTCATACATTTGTGTGCTGTATTTTTTAAAAATATTTTAAATATTAAAAATTTTAATTTTTTTGCTATGTGTTTAGTTACGATTTGAGTGTAGAATTTTGAAAATAGTGTGTAGTTTCGAGGTATGTGTTTGGTTATGAGTTTTGAAAATAATTTTTGAATTGAGTTTTGGATTATGTGTTTGGTTGCAATTTGAGTGTGGAGTTTTAAAAATAGTGGTGTTTCAAGTTATGTGTTTGGTTATGAGTTTTGAAAATAGAGTTTTGTAGAATTATGTGTTTGGTTATGTGTTTGGTAGCGTTTGGTAGAGTTTTGTAAATGTGATTTGAGAGTATGAGTTATATTTTGAGTTTGTGTGTTGTGGAATTATGATTTGAGTGTAGAAAATTTGTTTGGTAAAGAGTTTTGAAAATAGTTTTGGAAAAGAGGTTTGATTTGAGTGGGGAATTATTGATGTGACATTTGATATGTGATACAAAAATTTACAACTCATAACTAAATATACAATTCAAAATTATTTTAAAGCACATAAAAAATTTAAAAATTTTCAGAAAATATTTGTCCCGATTATGTAAATCAATTGAAAAAAAAAAAAAAATCTGGAAATCAGCCGGACATCCGGGTGGACATCCGGGTGGTCTACCGGGTGGTCATCCGGGTGGTCTACCGGGTGGTCATCCGGTGGACAGAAAACACGCCTGTGTGCGCAGAGTTCTCTGCAGAGAGTGTAGAAAATTGATTTGAAAACGTAACCAAACATGATGCTCCAAAACACATGTAGAAAATTGATTTGGGAATACAAACAAACAGAGCCGTGGTGTTTCAAGTTATGTGTTTGGTTATGAGTTTTGAAAATAATTTTTGAATTGAATTTTGAGTTATGTGTTTGGTTGTGATTTGAGTGCGGAGTTTTGAAAGTAGCGTAGAATTTCGAATTATGTATTCGGTTATGAGTTTTGAAAATAGTTTTTGAATTGAATTTTTAGTTATGTATTTGGTTACGATTTGAGTGTAGAGTTTTGAAAGTAGTGTAAAATTTCGAATTATGTGTTTGAATATAAGTTTTGAAAATAATTTTTGAATTGAGTTTTGAGTTATGTGTTTGGTTACGATTTAAGTGTGGGGTTGTGTTTTGAGTTTCAAATATTAAAATTAAAATATTTACAAAATAAAATAAAACATTTAAAATATTTAAATATTTAAATAAAAATTATATATTTAAAATAAAATATAATTTTTTTAAACATTTTTTAATATTTAAAAAAAATAAATCTCAAAAATTCAAAATACAACTCAAAATTCAAAAACTCAAAACTCTTTTCAAAATTCAAAGACTCTTTTCAAATCATTTTTTAAAACGCTTTTCAAAACTCATAACCAAACAAATTTTTTCTTTT